GTCCGTTGTTGTTCTTTTTAACCATATGAAAGCTTTGATCGGCATCTCGTTCAAGAAATGCTATATAGTCATTAATCTTCGTTTAAAAAATAAACGATTCCTCTTATAATAAAGTTAATAGCTCGGCAAACATATAAATAACGTTAAGAGTAGGATTGTTTACGGGAAAAAGTTTCATACTGTTTTGTCTTTTTTTTTTAATAATTTTTCAGAGATGTACTTAATCTATGCTCTTACCATAAGGATTTTCTATCCTAATTGTTAATATCCTTTCTGTGATTGGGTGTTTAAGGTTGTCTGTTTAATTCTTTGGTAGGATATCAATCCTCTAATATGATTCAATAGTGATATCTAAAATTAAGTTTGTATGTAACATTTTTTTTACTTAAAAATAACAGGACATTGAACAAATTGTATTTTGTGAACATGTGATTATTTTCATTGAAACAATGTTAGATCACTATTGGAAATCTCAAGGCACTGGACAGCCGTTTCGTCCTAGTACAGGACTTCTCAGAAATGCACATTCACCACCTTGGGTATCGCATATGAACGCTTAACCTATAGACCACTAAGCCTGTATCTAACGTTGTTGATTGGCTAACTATAACCGATACAAGATATTGTACGACCATCTTTCATTGTCTTCGGTGAGTAACTGCTTCACATCTGACACGGTTGAACTACACGGGTTACGGCTTTTCAGTGGAACTCCGAGAATTTAGTCTCAAAGCTAGTTACTAGTGAGCACATGATAATTTTCACTATGGAGTTGTGGAGTAATTTTTAAATTGTTGTTATTTCCAGTTATTACATTAAATTCTAATTAGTATGAAGGATTTAATCATATTCTTATTAGAATGTTTTTCTCCTAATGACCTGACCTTTTAATTCCAATACATTTAATAATTTTCGTCATTAAGGTAAATCAGCTGAATGATTATAAGTATGTTAAAGATAACATTGATAGTTGACTTATTCTAACCTATTAGTTCGCATTTGTTAATATGCAAATGTGACTTTAAATGAGTTTAAATTTAGTTATTACATATTTACCAATGATTACCATAACTCTAAGCTAATTAGCTGCAGTTTAAACATTACTCTACTTGTAGCATAGTGTAATTTTTATTCATTGTATAGTTGAATTACTGAGATTGTGGAGAAGATTTGTAGCTCAGATGGAATAACGATAAAAGCTCCATGACCAAACCATCTAGCTCAGAGAATAAATCTCCATCAAAATAGTTGAGTTACTATTTTATCTTCAACTTAATTTACTTATTAGATTATAGATGTTCACTAGAATATGGAAAAACCAGTTTAAAAGCTGACAATGAGTATAAGTACATGATAACTATTTGTTAGAGTTGGTTCATTGAATATTGTATATAACTTCATGAAAAGAAAGTAATGAACAGATGTTTAGTCTCTGTTTAAATACATATTATTTCGGTTACTTTCCTGAATATTAGAAATTCCATAACAAATATTCTATTGTAGGCGATTCATTCTTTGAAAAAATTTACCTTCCTACATTTGAATAATATTCCATATACAAAATGTGATACAATAACGATGATAAATAACACATACTGAAGGAATTTGTGTTATTGTTGTTGATTTTGATTGTGTTTTGTTGACTAGATGGATCTGTCATCTTCAAAGAATACTTCATCTTCAATAAATATATTTTATTGAACCAAAATATATACACATTTTCTATTCCATGTTTAATTGATCCAAATCAATGTTCTTTTTACTTTCCTTATTATAATTATTGTTCACTTATAATTAGGCACAGATTAGTGTCCTTGGTTTCTGATCACACTTATATTTGACAGCTAGTGGTACAATATAGTTATCTAAAGTGAAGCAGGATTCGAACCTACAACTGAAAATGTAACGTCTTAGTCACTTAGCCATCGTTCCATATAAATGAAAACAAACAAAAAAACGAAAAACATTCATACAGCATAGAATTCTCTTTAGATTATAACATACAGCAATCGTGTCATCCATTATCCCATCGCCCTTGGGAGGTTAAATATGTTGAAAATCACGAGAACACTACGAGAGCATATGACAGGTTAAATATTTCAAATATGTATTTATTGTCTTTACTTTACTTGCATACCATCTTCTATGTGAGCATTTATAGATGTGCTTTATCATATTGTATTACACGAAATCAATTATTATTTACTCATTATAATTATCATTCTATAATGGTGTTCATTGTGTTTATATGAATGCTATGACATTATTAGTCTGTTTTTTTGTTGCAATTAAATAACCTATAAAATCTATCATTAAATTACCAATTCACTTACTTTCTTATCCATAAAAATATATAGTGTAAAATGACTTGATAATTGAATTTTTAGACGCGTACACACACACAGAACATACTTTCATCATTATGAATGAATCTGCTTCGATTGTAGTGTTTGTTTTCTTATGTATTTCTAATAGGCATTTGGCCAGTGCGGTTCAACCGAGTTTGTTGTAAGATAGTAACTCACGGAAAACAATGGTGGACGGTGACGAAATTTCGTGAATTAGCTGAAGTTAGACATTAACATTGTCGAATGCCGACCAGCTCAGTGGTCTAGAGGTTAAGCGTTCGCGCACAAGACTGATAGTCCCTGGTTTCGAATCCCACGGGGCAGGGGTCGTGGATGCGCACTGCTGAGGAGTCGCACAATAGGACGAAACGGCCGTCCAGTGCTTCCGGGTTTTCCATAGTGGTCTAGCTTCAACTGACTCATGATCTCCACTGTTGTGATTATATTTAATTCTATCAAAATTTCCTTTCATTTTAAAGGTGTTTTGTTATTTATTTTATATTATTACTATAATATGTCATAACTCATATTGCTCATTCATACCTCAAATTCCATTTATATTTAGTCATAGTCTTGTGAAATGATCATACTTAAAGAAATCAATTTTGATATAGTATAGAAGATTTGTATCTTAAAAAATTGACTAATTCTAATGGATGTTTAATATCTAAGGTGAATAGTTTATTCGTTGAGTTTTTATTGTTGTTTTCTTTGTTTTGGACAACATTATTAACGCAAACTTTAGATAAATACTATCTATGAACACAGTAAAAGCTTCATAATGTAACTATTAAGCTAAAAGAGAGAAAAAAACTTTACCAAAATCATGTTTATAAATTTTATCTTTACAATATATGTTTCTATATTATGAATAAATGAGATCATATGATAATTAGAAGTATTTGTGTGGTGTGAGCTACTTATATTGACATAAGTAGTATATAACGTGCGTTAAAAGGATGTAATGTCTGGCAGCAGAAAATGAAGAAGATCAAGAAAAGAAGAGCAAGAACACAATGGAATTTGTAAGAAATCGCATGAACAATGAAATGGGAGACAATCAATTAGTGTTTGCAACTTGAACAGTGCATTTTGATATGATGCATTAATAATTTGCAAATTGACGATTGACTTTATGGTATTCAGATTTTGTTGATATAGTCTGTAATTTGCGTACTGAATACATTCGATTGTCCCCACCCGTGTTCTTGTTCTCTACATTTGTATTATAGTATAAACTAAAAATCCAACAAATAGCGTAATCGGATCAACAAGTACTAGATAACCACAAATGAATGTACTGTATTTAGAATTCGAAATCAAGCATTCGACAAGTACAAATGTATCATTAGTTCATTCAAACACCACATCCGTCACAGCTTAAATTAGAGTCTAGGTGTCTGTAATCAATTGTACGTCTTCTCAAGTTCATCCTGTGTCTGTCCGACATTGTATTGAATAAAAACTATATTATGTAGAATGCATTCATTAGTATTAGGATTAAGAACTGAAATCGGAACAAACTCACTTGCTTCCTGGGATTGTGTCGGTTGTGTACTGAAACCGCTGCTACCTAAAATTTGAACCATAGGGTTTCAGACTGCCCTCCCTCACGAAATAATGTTGGATTTTTATATCCCCAAATTATGAATGATGTGGGTTCATTGAAAACATATTTCTCACATTGATTAGGGTAGACATTAGAAGTGACTTTGTGGTAAGGACAAACGGCAATTGATATGAAATCATCCGATTTGTAATCAAAATCGAGGTTATTTAGTACTGCTTCGCACTGAACACGTTTTCCACAAGAAACAAATACATTATGAGGACAAATAATATTTGGTATGACATCAAGCTTTGACTCTTCTGAAATAGTTTCCTCGATTTTATTAAGAATGTCATTGCAGAGTAAAGGATCATTAGAAAAATCAACATCTATCAAAACTACATCAGGTTTTCGATCATGACTAGGTTCATTCAACAAATTTTCCTCAGATTTGCAGGGAATATTGTCAAAAATAAGTGAGTTATTAGGAAAAACCATATCTGGTAAAATAACATGAGAAATCTGACAATTTGATTTAAAATTCGAAATCAAGCATTCACCAATTACAAAGGAATCATTGGTTCATTCAAACACCACAGATTAGTACTGTAAACACAATAGATATAATTCATTTTTGTACCGTTTGTATAAATGTTCCCATCGGTATTTAGAACTGTAATTGATCAATTACTTATTAGCATTTATACATTTTATGCGGATTACCACGATATTACTTTAAATCACAAGCATTGTAAACACAAAAATAGATTGTGGTTAGAAGTGGAATTCAGCAAGTGTTTTTCGTTCTATTTAAAACACGTCAGTTGCATGTATCTGTATCTCAGAGTTTGTGATCACTCTGGATAACATAATAGCGTTTGAAATTGACAATATTAAGTTTAAATCTTGGTGTGAATATCAATTCTAGGAAGCAGCTACATCGAACTGATTAGTCTTTCATAGGACGAAACAATTTCACTGGTAACTACCGTTCATCTTCACTGATAAGAATAGATATAATTTTCATATCAATTTATTGATTTATTTAATTTATTTAATGAGATTGTTTTTTGTTTGTTTTTTTTCAAAACGAAATATTTTAGGCATCGAAATTCTTATCTAATCAACATTCAATATCAATGATATAATGAATCTAATAGAAATTGAGAGAAAACAAGAACTGTTCATTTCATACAAAACAATTATTCATTACATTTAATTATTATTATTATTATTAGTAGTAGTAGTAGTACACCTTCAAGTCAAACAATGAACCAATAAAAATACAGTTTTTTTTTTCTAAAAAACAATCATCCAATTACTGTGTATCTACCAATATCTACTACACTTATTTCAATATATATACACCCAGTAACTAATGTTACCCTATAACTAATATTATATATATGTACTCGAGTTAAACAATGATTTGCAATTATCATGTTTATTTTGATCATTTTTATTCTTGTTTATTGAATATGATGACATTATTAATTAGTATTTAATTGAAATCATTAAAATCATGTTAATAACACTTATTACATAATTCATTGAAATCTATGATTACATAATCATTTTCAATTATGATCTTATTAAATTGGATTAATTTTATCAACTAATTCAATGATTTATCAATATTTATTCATGATGATTATTATTATTTTATTTATAATTACAAATAATTGTGGATCAGTTCAAAATAATATGACTAATGATTACAATACTACTAACATGAATACTACTGTTATGAATAATAATAATAATAATAATTTAAGTACAGGTGGAATAATTGGAATAATCATTGGTTTGGTTATTATTACTACAATAACTAGTAAGCTAAAAAGAAAAAGTATTTTATTTGTATCGATGTTTATTTCATTTAAATGTTATTTGATGAAAAGTATCACTTCTTTTTCCTACATTTCTTAATCCATATCTCAACTCCTTTTTAAATAATGAATTTTCATTACTCTATCAATTCATTTACACTTTATGCTTAACTTTATTATTGATCCTATAATACTTGAATAATACTTTGAAGATATAAGTAACTTATAAATACGCTATTATTCTTAATAGTTATTTTTGGCATCTTCATAGTAAATAGACTGAACTGTTGAGTAATTAACTTGTCCTATAGTTGGTAGACAGATATATCGCTTAAGCCAATATTGAAATCATATGCTGTGTGCTGTTTATTTATGTTTAACTTATAACAATGTTTCCACCAGACAACCAACATAACAGCGATGTTACCTTTAGAAAAGGTTGACCCTAAAAATGCACACCCCACCTTATCCTCCTGTGGTCAGGTCTGAAGAAGTACGGAGTTAACATAAAAATTACTCACAGAAAGGTCATGTGTAACCAACCTCAAGCAGTTGTCCAATGGGTACCGCGGTCAAGCTCTCAGGTCACTATGAACACCTCTAACCAAATTTCCTTTTCAGGTACCTCTAGAAGGATCCTTTCACAGTTTGGACAATCAGGTAATGAAGACGACTCTGATACCTCTAACAGTATTCAAGACCACTGTATTCATAATAAATCTCCCTCTTCAAATTCTATTATTCCTCCTACCTCGATTTTCAAATCTAAACTTCCTCTTTTGACTCCCTTCTCAGGTGTAGCTATGGCTAACGATTCCAGTGCGCGAAACACTATCTCAGGTTTACGGAAAACTTGCTCCCAAATAAACATTAGAGCGTTCAACGTACGCACCTTATTCCAAATTGGCCAGCAGGCCTCTTTGGCTAAAACCCTAGAATCTCATACCATTGATGTATGCTGCGTCACCAAAACACGCATACAGGATCCTAGCGCGGTAACTCACTTGACCTCACCTCGCCAAAACTGAAAGACGACGAGATACACCCTCCGTTTATCTGGCCACCCGATGACTAGTTCTCATGGACTGGCAGATGTAGGTATAACACTAAGTACAAGGGAAGATTGAGCGTTATAAGAATTGCTATAACTGTGACGGCAGCAGATTTGAGGGTAGCGAATTATCGATCGCACCAAAGACGCACAAACACGTAGAACGACCTAGGGTTCTGATTGGCCCCGCTTCCCTGTCTAGCCCAGCAGTTGAGTCCAGAACGCAAGTCTCAGCCTCGGATATATGAATCATTATATTTCAAACATACTTTGTTCATATACCAGTCAAGCAGACCACAACGTACCATAAAATAGGAAATAACATTGTACAATATTAGCCAACAGGAAAATGACACGTCAAATAAATATTGACCGATAAGATGATACCACTTCATGTCCAAGGATGGCATTAGGCTCAACAGGATAATTTTTTGGATATTTTCCTGAATATCCCAACAAGAATGGATTCCCGTTATCATTCGCCTATGTTTTGTTTGGCCAACCGACTCAGTAAGAACTCGGAAGGACAGAGATACACGTCTTTGCCTTTTCGTTGTTTCTGTCTACGCTCTCACTGATTGCAGCCCGGATGAAGTGAAGTATGACTTTTACAGGAAGCTTCCTGAACTTCTTCGGAAAGTTAAACACTCGGACATAGTACTCGTAACGAGTGACTTTAAAGCCCATGTAGGTAGCTTTAACCAATCAGAAAGACATTCAGGTGGGTATTTTGGTATTCAGGCTCAGCGAAAAGATAATGGTGATCGCTTGCTGCAACTGTGCTCAGACAACCGTCTATTTCTGATGAGCACCAATTTTAAGCATAAGGGGAGAGACATCGCGTGACATCGCGACCCCATGCACCAAACCAGCGATGAGCTCAAATAGACCAGATTGCCATCAGTCATGGTTGGAGAGGGTCGACAGAAGACTGTCACTCGTTCTGGAATACACTTTTGGATTCCGATCATGCTCTACTACGAGCATGCATTTGATTTCGCCTCACCGGATGCAGAAAAACCACACTAATAAAAACCATTAGAACCGCACTGAATGACAAGAAATCCAAAAGTAGATACCAGGAACAACTGAGATCAGGCTTAGGTAGTTCTAAAATCGAGTATGGCCCAAATGTTGCTTGGAAAGATATACGAACAGCTATGGAAACCGCAGTTTCATCTATTAGGGATTTATACCAAAGGGTTACGAAAAACCAAGTCTATTACACTGACGGATTCTCGTAAACTCATCCCTTTAGGCTCTGAACACGACGAAGAGAGTAAACAAATCAGATGTAGGTTAACCACAAGTCTAAAGAACGATCGTGAGCAGTGGTGGGCAACGAAAGCAAAAGCGATGAAGAAGGCGGTGGTTGTAGGTAACACAAGATAGCTCTTCAGACTAACAAAAGAAACTGGAACTAAGAAATCAAGTGTAAATGAGATTATCTCGGAAAAAGATGACAGTTTTATCTGCTCTCGGGCCAGACGTTTTAAACGACGGGCGAAACACTAAGGAGTAATTCATCTAATCTAAAACTACCCACCATTCGCAAACAGCCTGAGTGGAACATTGAAGTAGGTCTCCCGACTCTAATTGAGGCTTAAAAAGCTGTAGCTAATCTGAAACGGGGAAGGGCAGCTCTTCCAAATGGACTGGCTCCAGAGGTCTTTTAGGATAGTGGTTCAATTTTAGCGATTCGGTTGACCAATATTTTAGCTAAAATCTCGAGACTGAATGTAGTCCCATCTGACTGGTCGCAATCACTGATTGTCCCAGTACGTAAGAACGAGTCAGAATCATCCTGTAATAACCATAGAGGGATTAGTTTGACTAATATAGCATCTAAAATGCTAGCCTCAATAGTTATTGGACGCTTAAATAAGGCTCGTGAACTGCAAACACGAGAAAATCAGGCTGGCTTCAGACCTGGTCGTACCTGCATGAATCACATATTCACCATCCGTCAGATCTTAAAACACAGACATGCTTATCGGCGTCTGACAATGATAGTTCTTCTTAACTTAAAAGCAGCTCTTGACTCTGTTGACCAGGAGGTTTTTGATAGTGTCTGTCACTGAAAGGTGTACCTCTGAAGTACATAAACCTTGTAAAGGTTCTTTATTCGACCACTATCAGTCGAGTCAGAGCTTGTAGTGAAATGTCATCTGATTTTGCAACCTCAAGTGGTGTCCATCAAGGTTGTCCACTATCTCCATTTCTGTTTAATTTCATCATAGACCTACCGCTGGGAATAACTTTCTCATCGACTAGATTTTCAGCAATTGATCTCCTACCAGGGGAGTCCACTTATCGACATAGAATACGCAGGTGACATAGTCCTGTTTGGTGAAGACGCTAAGGTGCAGAGTCTTTTGCTAGCACTCAGCAACAATAGCAGGATGTTTGGAATGCGCTTATCTCTCTCCAAATGCAAATTGTTGCTTCAGGCTTTCGCCAACTCACGTCACCTATCGCGAAGTCGAGATATCCATCTATCAATTTAAGGACCAGTATACCGCACAGCAGTTCGTCCTATTCCACTTTACGGCTGAGAAACGTGTTCAATAAGAGTAGAAGATACTCGTGAGTTACTAGTATTTGATCACAGATGTCTAAAAGATATTACTTGGATTTTATGGTATCACCAGGTATGTAATAGTGAGGTTAGAGTCAGGGTATTAAGAAGTGATGGTAAATCGGTTGATGAGGTTGTAAATCTTCACCGACTGAAACGGTTAAGCCACGTGATACGCACGCACAACTACCGATTACCACAGCTCGTAATGCTGACTAGTGTAGGGGATGGTGGGAAGAAAGTTAGGAGCTGCCAAACTAAAATGTGGCATTAGTACTTGAAGTTACTAACTTCTAGTCTGAGACATGTTGGTTGATGCAAAATACTTGGTTGGTGTCCGCGTGACTATCGTAACCAACGGTTGGAGACTGTGTATGGCATGGCTCAGAATCGATCACAATGGTGTAAGTGTATACACTCCTTGTCTTCTATTAAACGGTGAGATTAAAATTACTTTATATCTCCCTTTCGACCAACTAATTCTTTCTTCCTTTATTATATCCTCATATTCAATCTTTCTTTTATATATTACCACCATTGAAGTAACTACTTCTATAAATTTGGTTTTCATCTTGTTGTGCTGATGAGGTGTGGCAACTTGAACCGTTGCATTTGTGTGCTTGGTCCTACGTTGTAGATGACTGACAAACTGTACATCCACGACCCTGAGAGTTATCGAACCAAAAACTCTCGATCTTGTGCACAAATGTTTATTCTCTGTACAACGGAGTCGAGATCCAATCATATAAATTTATAACTTCAGTCAGTTTATGATATTCTGCGACTGGCTTCGATTACTTACGGTAGATAACTTTCTCGTTCCCATCCAGGTTGAACTCTACTGATTACATATCTTCACTAGAATTCCAAGAATTTCATCTTGAAGTTAGTCACTAATGAACACATTATTATTATTGTCAGTATAAGAAGATTTGTGAAGATTGTAGAATTTTTATACTTGAATAAAACAACTATCCAGTACTTTCAGATTGTTCAAGATGGTCTGGCCTAGATCAGTTCATAATTTAAACTTTGCAAATTCTACAATCTCCACACTCTCCCCCCCCTTTTTATTGAAAATCAAAAATTAATTTACACCGTTAATAACTAATATGTTTTTATCTTAGTGATCTTTGATTTCTAAATCACATGACATAAATGTCAGTCTTTTACGCTGGAGTGTTGTCATTATTAATAATAATTGTATTAACAATAACAATGATTATTATAATAATGAAAGTAAATGTTCAATAATAAATGATATAATCTAAATAATAATAATAATAATCTTGATAACCCAGATACACAATGACCTTGAATATTTTCACCATAATTATAATAAGTTTTTTTTTGCTTTATTCTACATTCCGTTC